GTGACCAATGCCAGATGCTTCAGAGGGAAGGAACAGAACATGTACTTATCAAGTGATCCATCCTCTGTCGCCCATTCCGAGCTTCTGGCAAACAGAGGCTAGGGACACCATCCCTGTCCATCATGGCTAATAGCCATTGATGAACCTATCCTCCATGAATTTACCTAGTTCGTTTTTGAACCCTGTTATAGTCTTGGCCTTCACAACACCCTCTGGCAAGGAGTTCCACAGGTTGACTGTGCGTTGTGTGAAGAAATACTTCCTTTTGTTTGTTTTAAATGAGCTGCCTATTAATTTCATTTGGTGAGCCCTAGTTCTTGTGCTATGAGAAGGAGTAAATAACACTTCCTTTTCTACTTTCTCCACAACAGTCATGATTTTATAGACCTCTATCATATCCCCCCTTAGTCATCTCTTTTCCAAGCTGAACAGTCCCACTCCTATTAATCTTTCCTCATACGAAAGCTGTTCAATACCCCTCATCATTTTTGTTGCCCTTTTCTGAACCTTTTCCAATTCCAATATATCTTTTTTGAGATGGGGCAACCACATCTGCACGCAGTATTCAAGATATAGGTGTACCAAAGATTTATATAGAGGCAATCTGACATTTTCTGTCTTATTATCTCTTCCTTTCTTAATGATTCCCAACATTCTGTTCCTCCCTCCCTCCCAAGATTATCTTTAATGGAACAAATATAGACACATGGGCAGAAATAGACCCTCTAGGGTCTATTTTAATCCACATTTGGACAAATTTTAAGATAATTGTATTCTGGTGGTTGTGTTAAGGTTGGCAGAATGTAATGCAAAAGCTAGAGATTCTTTGGCTGATTCTTCTTTCAGGTTCCTCATGTGTAGGGCAGGAATTAGTTAGAAGCTTTAATATCAGAGGATTTCTCCAGACTGCTCACCTCACTTTGCCTGAGAGCATCACACTGGTGCAGTAGCAGACCAGAGAGAAAGATACCATTCCTCATACGGTCTACTAGTAAATGGAGACAACCCATCAGGAGACATCATAGAATATCAGGGTTCGAAGGGACCTCAAGAGGTCATCTAGTCCAACCCCCTACTCAAAGCAGGACCAATCCCCAATTTTTGCCCCATCCCTAAATGGCCCCATCAAGGATTGAACTCACAATCCTGGGTTTAGCAGGCCAATGCTCAAACCATTGAGCTATCTCTAACCCCATCAGCTGTTCTGCAACCTCTGACTACTGTCCAGAATGGAGGGGAGTTATTGACACTGCCCACTCTGAACAGAATGTACTTTCTATTAGTTCCTTAGTTGCATCTGAGAGTGCTGAAGGAATTGGCGGCTGTGATTGCAGAGCCATTGGCCATTATCTTTGAAAACTCGTGGCGAACCGGGGAAGTCCCGGATGACTGGAAAAAGGCTAATGTAGTGCCAATCTTTAAAAAAATCTTTAAAAAAGGGAAGAAGGAGGATCCAGGGAACTACAGGCCAGTCAGCCTCACCTCAGTCCCTGGAAAAATCATGGAGCAGGTCCTCAAAGAATCAATCCTGAAGCACTTGCATGAGAGGAAAGTGATCAGGAACAGCCAGCATGGATTCACCAAGGGAAGGTCATGCCTGACTAATCTAATTGCCTTTTATGATGAGATTACTGGTTCTGTGGATGAAGGGAAAGCAGTGGATGTATTGTTTCTTGACTTTAGCAAAGCTTTTGACACGGTCTCCCACAGTATTCTTGTCAGCAAGTTAAGGAAGTATGGGCTGGATGAATGCACTATAAGGTGGGTAGAAAGCTGGCTAGATTGTCAGGCTCAGCGGGTAGTGATCAATGGCTCCATGTCTAGTTGGCAGCCGGTATCAAGTGGAGTGCCCCAAGGGTCGGTCCTGGGGCCGGTTTTGTTCAATATCTTCATAAATGATCTGGAGGATGGTGTGGATTGCACTCTCAGCAAATTTGCGGATGATACTAAACTGGGAGGAGTGGTAGATACGCTGGAGGGGAGGGATAGGATACAGAAGGACCTAGACAAATTGGAGGATTGGGCCAAAAGAAATCTGATGAGGTTCAATAAGGATAAGTGCAGGGTCCTGCACTTAGGATGGAAGAATCCAATGCACCGCTACAGACTAGGGACCGAATGGCTAGGCAGCAGTTCTGCGGAAAAGGACCTAGGGGTGACAGTGGACGAGAAGCTGGATATGAGTCAGCAGTGTGCCCTTGTTGCCAAGAAGGCCAATGGCATTTTGGGATGTATAAGTAGGGGCATAGCGAGCAGATCGAGGGACATGATCGTTCCCCTCTATTCGACATTGGTGAGGCCTCATCTGGAGTACTGTGTCCAGTTTTGGGCCCCACACTACAAGAAGGATGTGGATAAATTGGAGAGAGTCCAGCGAAGGGCAACAAAAATGATTAGGGGTCTAGAACACATGAGTTATGAGGAGAGGCTGAGGGAGCTGGGATTGTTTAGCCTGCAGAAGAGAAGAATGAGGGGGGATTTGATAGCTGCTTTCAACTACCTGAAAGGGGGTTCCAAAGAGGATGGCTCTAGACTGTTCTCAATGGTAGCAGATGACAGAACGAGGAGTAATGGTCTCAAGTTGCAGTGGGGGAGGTTTAGATTGGATATTAGGAAAAACTTTTTCTCTAAGAGGGTGGTGAAACACTGGAATGCGTTACCTAGGGAGGTGGTAGAATCTCCTTCCTTAGAGGTTTTTAAGGTCAGGCTTGACAAAGCCCTGGCAGGGATGATTTAACTGGGAATTGGTCCTGCTTCGAGCAGGGGGTTGGATTAGATGACCTTCAGGGGTCCCTTCCAACCCTGATATTCTATGATTCTATGAAAAGAGCTCAGATAAGGGGTAAAGGGCCACGTTTAGTGATGAAGGCAATTTATATAGTTTTTTGGATCCTATGGAACTATCTTTTGTTAACACTTTCTCTGTCTTTGGGTTTCCACCTAAATGCCCAGTTTATCCATGCCCTAATCTTTTATGTTCAATAACCAGCAGAGGGAAAATAACTGTTCCTTCCACTCTATCACACACCAGGAAAAAGTTCAAATAATACCAATGGATTGTGACAACATAGTCTTTATATTAAGGGCTTTGGAGCGGAGCCCGGAGCTGGAGCGCGGAGCAGTGAAACTGCAGGTTTTTGCCTGGAGCTGGAGCGGAGCCAGAGCACAGCTCCAAAGCCCTGTTTGTATTGATAGTAGTTAGTCACTGCACTGGCAGGAGCACGTTTATGTCTCGTTCTTTGTTCACTATTAATCAATTTGATTATAAATATTTTGACTTTATAACTAACTCCATAAACAAGACATGGTAAAAGTCAAAATATCAGAGGTCTGGGCATGAGCTGTTTTAATGGCTAATAAAGTATCTGTTGCTGAATTGTACCAAGTTCTCTCTTTTTGGAGTGTGCTCTGTATTTCCAGTAGCTTCCCCGTTATGAAGGTTGTTACTTTAACACACTAGAAGCCAACCATTTTCAAATGACGTTTCTATGAACTGTAAACATTTCAGAGCCTACACCCTATTTGAACCACCAGTGAAGGCAAGCAGCTTGACCACAGAAAAAGCTTGAAATGTACAAGACTAAAACAGGGCAAGGAACAAAAACAGTGGACTGACGATACTTTCTGTGTGCTAATTATTTCATTTCTCTCTTCAAAGATATTTACCAAGTTTTAGTATTTTCCAGATGGGGTAATGAATGTGCAGAGAGGCGGTAAAAGACCAACGCTACAAGGCAAGGTCCTGCTCCCTGCAAGCATCCCTCCTGCAGTGGGAGGTCCTACCCCACCATGGACCAGTTCCCATGAGCAGGGTCCAGATCAGTAGCAGCACTGGGACTAGAGCCTGGATTTCTTAACTCTAGCTCACGGAGCATGGAACGGGCTCACCCCTGGCCCCAGGTTCAAACTGAGTTACTTCCCCCATTAGTTTACACGAGTCTGAACCTTACACGTGAAACGTCAGCCCTCGGAGCTTGGAATTCGGCAAACATCTAGACGCGCAGCCGATGGCCGAGCAGCTCTTCACCATGGCACGGGTGGCTCATCGCAGAACTGGGGAAAGAGCGAGGCTGAGCGGGGAAGGAAATGGGGTGAGGGCGGGCCGGCCCCCTTGAGCCTGGCCGGCCGGGCGTGTCCGCATGAGCCCGGGCACCGGGGCATGGCCACCCGCATGGTGCCATCCAGCGACACCACCGGTGGCCTTTAGGGGGGCCAGGCAGCAAGTGTGAAAAATTGGGATGGGGGGGGGCTGGGTGTGTGTGTGTGTGGGGGGGGGGAATAGGAGCCTCTATAAGAAAAAGACCCCAAATATCGGGACTGTGCCTATAAAAATTGGGACGGGGGGGGGGGGGCTGGGTGTGTGTGGGGGTAATAGGAGCCTCTATAAGAAAAAGACCCCAAATATCGGGACTGTGCCTATAAAATCGGGACATCGGGTCACACGGCGGGTCCCCGGCCAGTGACACGCGAAGGCAGCCCCGCGGCCTGTCCGGGTTTCATTCGCTTTTAACACAGCTGGGGGCGCGCGCGCGGGGCGGGCGGGGGCGCGGGGCTGGGGGGCGGGGCCAGTCACGTGCTCATTAACGGGCTGCGAAGCCGCGGGCAGCTCCTGCGGTTCCCGCCCTCACGGAACCCGGGCGCTGCGGGAGGGGCGTCACGCGGGGCGGGACAGGCTGAGGTACCCAGAGGGGGGGCACCAGGCCCGGCGCGCGCGGGGGACGGGGCAGGTTCCGGGTACCTGGGGGCAGCGGCGCTTCCTCCTCCGGGCTCTTCGCTTCCGCCCCGCTTCGCCCGCCGGAAGTGCCGCTCACGGCGGCGGCCGGAAGTGGTTCCGGGAGGCGGCGGCGGCCCTCGCCCATAGAGAAGAGGCGGGCGAGCGGGCAGAGCGGCGCCGCGGGCGGGCGAGCGGGCAGCGGCCATGGCGGCGGCGGCGGCGGAGGCCGGCTGCGAGCACTATCGCCGCAGCTGCCTGCTCCAGGTGGGGGCGGGCTCGGCTCTCTCCCCGCGGTCCGGGCTCGGCTCTGGGAGCCGCTCCCGCCGCCGGCCTCGGCTCTCGCGGGGCCGCCCCGAGCGGCTTCTCCGGCCGCCTCGCCCGGGCTTTGCCCTTCTCCTGCTCCCCCCGCGAGAGGGGCCTGGGCGCCGTGCCGGGCGCCTCCCCTCTCTGCCGGGGCCCGGCTGACGGCCCCTGCCCCGCGAGCTGTCCGAGTCTGCGGCGCCGAGCTGCTGGGGGACGCGCCCCTCTCCCCCGCTGGAGCGGGGTGGCCCGGTGGAGCTTTTGGCTCGGAAGCATGGGTTGGCGGGGAGCAAACCTCGTCTGAGGCGTGCTCCAGGGTGCACGTTTTCACTTTCTGCCCACGCAAGCGGGAGCTTCCCTTTTCCTTCCTCTCCGTCCCCAAGTCCGGCCGCTCCCGCCCGCGGATACCTTGCAACGAAGAGACCAAGCTTGTGCTGTCTCCAGCTCCACCAACCTGACCTAGTCTAGGGCTTTGAAACGCTAAAAGGGTAAATGAAACCTAGGCGCCCCCGTTCGCTGTAACTTAAATTTTGATTTCCTCATCGTTTGTCTCCTCTTCTTTGTTTTTACAGGCTCCTTGCTGCGGTAAGTTTTACGTTTGCCGTCTGTGTCATGACAGCAAGGAAGATCATCAGATGGATCGTTTTAAAGTAAAACAAGTGCAGTGTGCAAAGTGCAAAAGCATCCAGCAGGTAATGGTGTATACTTTAATCTTTTCAATATGTGGTGACTGCAGTTGTTATCTCTGAATGGGATTATAAAACACAGATGCTTAATAGAGGGTCTTAATTTTACTCTGTGTGTGTGGGGGGGTAGATTTTTCCATTCCTTCAAATGGTAAGATAAGAGTAAAGGGAATTCCTGTGTTTTAGGGGGAAGTTGCATTTATTCTCTCTCGGTTACCTAGACAGTTAACATTCGAGGAGGAGAGAGGTGGTTTCAGTTCCTAGCAAAACTAATATAAACACTCTAGCCTGGCTACAGAACAGGGTTAAGGTTATAGAGTGAAACTCTTACAACTAAGTCCCTTGGCTTTGTTACATTTGTAGTGTGGACAGGACCTTAGTGTCTCTCCTGTAGCTTCTGATCGTTCCCTGTGTTCCTGCAGGTAGCACTTCCACAGCAGCACTAGTAAGTGCCGAGATAGGTGCTATAGAAAACTCAGCTAGATAATGAAACTTACAACTGTATCTTTTTCATTCTGCTGTTTTGCTATCTCTGGACGAATGCTGTGTACAGGATTTGTGTCTAGATTTGATCCCCCCCCCCCCTTTCAATATACTGCCACAGTAATAAGAATGTAAGCGGGGAGGGTGGTGGGACGACATGGGACTCTATCTTGTGTCCACCCAAACTCAGTGGCGTGACCAAGTATGGCAAATCCTATATTCCTATTTCTCAGGTTTGTTCTGTAAGACAAAGTCTGAAGTCTAATTTCTTAGACAGCATGTAAAATGTCCCTAGTGAAGACTGTTTTTGATTAAAAGAATAAGGAAATTGTATAAAAATCCTGTCAGGATTGGCAGGTGTAAATATGGACTTACGGTGATACTAGAATTGCCTGCCTAAAATGTCTTAACTCTGAACTTGCATATATGCATCTTTTTTGTGGGCACAAAGCCATATAAGATCCTGAAAGTATAGGCTCTGTGATGTGGGACAACAGGCTGTGCTCACCAAGTGTTAAGTCTAACTCTAGTAATAATGGCTCATTAAAGTGCTAGCTTGAAGAACTAAAAGAACCCCCCCTTTTCTAGCAAAATGCTGGTAGTTCTTATTGCTTACATTATGTGTATGTACTTGTAGGCTCAACAGAGTTGTGAGGATTGCAGCAGTATGTTCGGAGAATATTACTGCGGTATATGCCACCTATTTGACAAAGACAAGAAGCAGTATCACTGTGAGAAGTGTGGAATTTGTAGGTACTGTATTTAAAATTATTAATATTTTTTCTTCAATGTTATTTGCGTTTCCAAGTTTTTAAAGCAATTCTGCTTAGGTTGGCTTAAATATTGGTAACTTTAAGATACTGTATTTTGAAATTGAAATTATGCATTGTGTGTAAGAATTCAGGATGTTAGCAAGCAGCTATGAGTTTAAAAATATGTCTTGCTTAAAGAACACTTAAAAAAAGTCATTCCGTTATTTGCATATAGTTTTTTGCCTTGGTGGGTAATGTAGACATGGGAAAATTCAGGGGGGTGTCCTTTTACACTGAATTCTCATTAATAAAGGGGAAAGTTTTGTCAAGTAATGAGTTTAAAAGCTTTCTGTTGCTTTTAAATGCCCAGTTAAAATGGATTTTCCTAAAACAATTCCGATTGTAGGTCTTAAACTACATGATTCCCTTTTGTTCGCTAAAATCAATCTTCTAGTGATGTTGCACAGGTTTAATGTGGTCTGGGAAGGGAAAAATCCACCCCACCCGCCTCCCGATCCTCTGTTGCATATTCTGCACTCATTTCATGTGTAGAACTCCAAAAACAGAATATGCAGTAGAGCACTGTACTTTGGGTAAAAGATCTGTAATGTTTGTTGGGGGTGGGAAAGACTTCTTAATTTCCCACTGCTGCAAAAAATTTGTCCTTAAAAAGATCTACACAAACTCTTGAAACCTTTGGTGGATGAATTAAGTTGATATTGTTCTGTGTTTAAATTATAGCAGCTTCCTGCAGCAGACCTATGCTTTCCATTTTCATCTAACTGCTCTGTACCACTAATTAATATTAAAGAAAGCAGTCTTAGAATTTCTGACTTAGTTATAAACATGTTGGTGCTAATTTCTCTTCATTTTAGAGAGAACATTAACATGATATTTCAGAGCCTTTGTTTCCAGAGATTGGGTTTAGATAAAGTTCTTCCTAAATGCATGACTTTCAGAGAGATTTGAACTGTGTTTATGTAATAGAAATTGTGTAGAAACAAGTATCTGTTTAACCTGTGCTAATTATAGTTAGATCTATTGTTACTAGAAAATAACAGGGGTAGAGTCTGCAAATCTGTGACTAATCATGGATTTTTTGAGACTCAGGGAAGCAGGCCTCGTATTGGAGATAAGCTTTTCCTTCTGATGTAGCTCAAAAACAAAGAAAGCTTGATCTTTAAAAATGTCATTGAACACATAATGGTGGGGAATGATTTTCGTACAGGCATCTGTTGAAGCAGTTTCCTTGCACTGCAGCTATTGTAAATGTCTGCCAGTGTGAAAATTAATAAGTGCTAAAGAGGGGGGAAAAGTTGGTGGCTACCATAAAACAAGGGCCATCATCTCGAAAATATACTTTATTTTAAAGTTGCACTGGTGGTTGTCAAACGTGACACTTAAGAATATTTAATGTAACGACTCGAAGGAAACAGTTAAAAATCTTGTGCTTTTGACAGCTCTTTGTGTAATCAGTTTCACTTAACTTCATAAAATGTCACAGTCCTTTTAAAATCGTTTTCTTGACCTGGGAGACCATCTTTTCTAAGTGTATAACTTTTCTTGCAGGTATTAAAATGTAAATTGTACAGAAATTGGCAAACTATTCCTAACCAACTGCCTGTCTCTTTAGGATTGGTCCAAAAGAAGACTTTTTCCATTGTTCAAAATGTAACTTATGTCTAGCTTTGAGTTTTCAAGGAAAACATAAGGTATGAATGTAATACTCTATAGTTTCATTTAAAAAGAACACCGCTACCCCCATCACTGTGCTTAAGAAAATGAGAGCTGGTACATCCTAGCTAGACCCATTTATAATACAGACCAGTGCTATGCATACTCTCCTCCTTCCACCAATGGATCGCAGTCCTGAACAGCAACATTGATCAGCATTGGACTTCTGTATTGCTTCCCTTGCCATGTGAATCCCCTGGAATATACTCTTTGAAATTTCATTGTACATCTGGAGGTCCACGTATCTATGATTAACTCTTCTAGAAATGTTTTAAGATTTTGTCAGTTTGATTTGCCACTTTCCTAGTGTGGTCTAGTAGGTTTTTTTTTTTTTTTTTTTTGGGAAGTCCCATAAACAATTAAAAAGATTAAAATTGGAAATTTTAGCATTCACAGATTTTACCAGAATCCCCTTTGATGGAATTTGAACCCATGTTCGGAGTAGTAAAAGGTTTCATGAAACTTTTATATGTTCTCAGGAAATGTAGATCCAAATACTTCTATTATGCAAGAATCTACATTTATTTTTCTTTCCTGTTAAGCTGCCTTTTTTTTTTTCTTTACAAAGTGCATTGAAAATGTCTCCAGGCAGGACTGTCCAATATGTTTAGAGGTAAGGGTTGGGTTTTTTAAATGTTTCAGCTATTAAAAGTTTACATGAAAGTAAATTCTATACTTTAATTGTGTACCTATTGAAATATCCTTTTTCCCTTTTGGCTTTGACTTTAGCTTTCTGGGTGTGTTTGGTACTTGGGAAAATACATGTTAATTATGTCTTGAAACAGGACATTCACACCTCACGTGTTGGAGCTCACGTTCTGCCGTGTGGACACCTTCTTCATAGGTAAAGTCACTTCTGTAGAATCCTCAATATCAGAAATGGAAATATCTGTTGTATCTTCCAGTCCATCTCCTCACTAATGCAAGGCTGATTGTTCTCTGCTATCTTCAGTGGTGTTCCGAATGTCCCAAGCAATGGGGCTTCCGTCCTTTCCTTTGGAGACTTCTCTCCAACCCAGTAAAACTTCCTGACAGAGAGGCTTCCTTGATGTTCATCTTACATTTTCCCTTGCTTAATTTCTTCTTGTTACCACTTATACTCCAGCATATCACCCTATATAATGCCCTCCTTGGTGCAGATTGTTGTGCCGCCCCCTCACTCTGGCCCTATAATGAAGAGCCCCATGGGGCTTTGTGAAGGCACAGGGGTCTGACTTCATGGAACATGTTGGAGGGTCCAGGACTCAAGTTGTCTCTTAACCAGTCTATATATTTAACTCTTAATTTTCATTCTGCATTGTCCTTGCGTCCACTGAACGTTTCTATTACTCTAGGAAATCTTTCCAGTTTGTCCATAATTTTTATGCTGACATGGTGCCCAGAACTGAATACAGTACTCCCAGAGCGTGGTCACAACAGAGTCACATATTTCCTTCATGTCCTGTGCATCGATGCCTCTATATTCAACCCAAAATGTCCTTATCCCTTTTTTGTTTGTTCGCTATTATGTCTCATTGGAAATACCTTGGATTTTCTTCTATTCCTAGGTCTCCTTCATTGCTGTTTGCCAGGCTCCCCCTCCCACTGACTGTACATTGTAGATTAACGTTCTCCAGATGTAGCAGCATGACGTTTTCCTAACTGAATCTTGCTTTGTTGTGTTCTGCCCGTCTCCCTAACTCTCTCTGAAGTCGTTCTCTGTCCCTGTTGTTTGGAGTGATCTTGAATCATCTGCAAGTTTCATTCCCACGCTGTTGACTCCTTCCTCCAGTTCACTACTGAAGATGTCAGAATGGGACCTAACACATTCTGGTGTCCTTGGGTCCCTCTAAACACTAAGTGTTGGTGCTCGGTTGCCTCCCTCTTTCCACTGCCATACAAATTATTTTTTAACCATAGCTCTTTGGCTAGCTCACTCTTCCTTCAGTTGAAGCCCCACTTTTCTGTCCAGAGGGTTTAAAGCACAGTGACTTCACCTTCTTCGTGTAGCTACTAATGTGGCCTTGTGTTTTCTTTTTAGAACTTGTTATGAAGACATGTTAAAAGAGTGAGTATTCTGACCCCACTTCTTCCTAAGTACCATGGCAGTGCAGACTCCTGAGCTGGAGAAGTAAAGATTGCTGTGACAATCCAGGACTGAGCGATTTAAAGGCAACTGTTAACAAAGCAGTCTCTCCTCTGCTGCTTCCAGCAAACACTGTGCAATGTGTTCATGTTGTACATCGCCTTTCTCATTGACTACTGGGATGGGAATCAGTTCATAAGACTGGAAGGGAGCTCCTGGGTAACTGAGTCCAATCCCCTGCTTTCACAGGCAACACTGTCATATAATCCCATTCATAAACTTATCAGCTAGATCTTAAAGCTAGTGGGGTTGTTTGCCCCACTGCTCCTGTGGGGAGACTGTGCCAGCCCGTCACTCCTCTGGTGGACAGAAGCCTTCTGCTCATTTCCAGCCTAAATTTATTCATGGCCAGTTTATCCCCATTTGTCCTTGTGCCAACATTGTCCTTTACATTCAATAGCTCTTCTCCCTCCCTGGGGTTTTCCTCCCCGTCCTGATGTTTTTAAACTGACTCTGTCACCACAGCAGCTTTCTGACTTGTATTTCGTGTCCTTGCCAGAGGTTACCGATGCCCCTTGTGCATGCACTCGGCTTTAGATATGTCCAGGTACTGGCGACAATTGGATGATGAAGTGGCACAAACCCCTATGCCCACGGAATATCGGAACATGATGGTGGAGGTAAATGGCAACTTTTCTCACCATGCCCCCTTCCAGTCTCCCTCCATTATTGGCCACTCTCTACCATCCTGTTAGTCGGAGTAGAGAGCAAGTGGAGCTCTCTCTGAAACAAAAGGTAATGTTACCCTTTGGCATGATGCAGAACCGTTGTTTCTCATGTTCAGGGGATAAGGTGACCAGCTAGGTGAAGAACTATTTTGTTCCTTACCCACCGGTGCCTGGTATAGCATTGCACTGAGCGGGGGGGAAGGGATGCCGGGGGAATTACTCTTCTGAAACATCTTGGATTGTCAGACAACACCAGATCAGGGAGCCACTGTCCTCTGCAGGAGCAGGAATGTATGCTCTCTTCCCATTCCAGAGTGAACACACTGTTTGTGCAAAACGCTCGGATGTTTGCCAGCGTTAGGGTGGCAAATTGGGTGCCGCTATTCTAGCCAAGGGTAACTCAGCCTTTGACATCCACGTTGGGCCTGGCTTCTGCTTGCTAGTGAAACTTAAATTAGGATCAGGGCTATGTAACTTATTCCAGCAGCACGCGGAAAGCCAGCCCAGATGCCCCACTTCCCTAGTGTTTCTTGGATTGAGGATGGTTCTGCTTTTTTAGATGATGTAGAAAAGAACATATTTCCCAGAATGGATTATTTGAAGTCTCATAGAGCAGTGTCAGGCAGCCCCCACAGAGGGAATAGTGTAACCAGAGCTTTGTGTCCTCTCCAGTCTTCATCTTCTGGAAAAACTTAGGCTGATTGTCTGGGAAGGCTAAATTTGTTATGCAGCTAATGCAAAAAATAAAAAGGTAATCAAAGTTGTTAAACAGCACACTTATCTAAACCATATTAGTAAAAAAAAAAATTGCATAATATTAAAAAAAGAAAATTTGCAGATTGCAAGGCTTAGAAGGTGCTAAGCCTTGGGCACCATATGAAATTAATAATTCAACTGTGCCAATTATAATTGCTGTTTAAAATGAACAGGAAATCATAAAAAATTAACAATATAAGTACAACAGAAAATAAGACCTATAACCAGCATTATCCCAGTGTAAAAATGGCAACATAAGGAAAAAATAAAAACAGCCTGCTGTAAACAAATCAAGCACAGATGGTCCTGTAAGTGCTCAGCCCAAAATAAACCGGACCACCAGCGAGGGAGGTTGGGCCCAACTAGTTGTTAAAGAGAGAGTGAAGGAGGTGATACTGCTAGGGACACAGTATGTGCTGTGAAATATCACAACTTCTCGGTGGAGACAACACCATGCCGGGGAATCTGAACCTCACCTCTTTGACTGAGATTGGGACCCATGCCTTATGGCCAAGTGTAAAAATAAAAATGTAACAGAAGTCGTGACAGACAAAGAGAGAATCCCTGGTGGCCAGTCTCGTTGCACCTGTACCTCCCTTGCCCATTAACACCGCTGACTTCATACAGAGGAAAATAGAATGATTGGTGCACATTGCCCAACTAATAGCCAAGCAACAAACAATTGAAAACAATACTGTACCAAAGGAGGTGAGTTGGTGCCCCCGGTTCGTACTTTAAGCCTAATATTAATAGAAATTCAAATAGTTACCACCACTGTGGTCTTACAAATGTGCTGCTAAATAATAAACTTAAAAAAAAAAAAAACCCCAACCAACCCCCCCAAAATAATACCAATAAAACAAATATAAAACAAAAAAATATAGCTAAAACCTAACCCAGCGTAAATAAACACACACAAACGCCTCATTTAAAAAAATGTAAAATATCAAATTAAAAACAAAATACTTATTCTAAATCAACAAAACTAAAAAAATAAAATATCGAAACCAACTAAAATAAAAGACAAGTCCTGTTTACTAGAAATAACAAAAAAATAAAATAAGAATATACAAATAAAATAAAAAGATGTCTGGTAGTAAGCAAGTTTTGTTCTAGGCACAATGTTTTATGCAGCCTCCCATTTGTCTTACGGCCACTCTCTTTTACTACAGATCCTTTGCAATGATTGCAGTGCCCGGTCCACGGTACAGTTCCATATCTTAGGCATGAAGTGTACAAGCTGTGAATCCTACAACACTGCTCAAGACGGAGGATGCAGGATGGCTCTGGAGCAGCAGTGACTACCACCCACATCGCATGTTACTGGAAAGAAAACCATCCTTGTTTGATATGGCTGCTAAGGCACACCACAATGTTTCATAGTACAAATGGTTTCTCTGTTAATGTCCTATCACAAAATCCCAATTCCTGGCGCTGTATTCAGGCTCCTTAGGAAACTGTCACTCTCTGCTGTTAGCATATCCTATGATTCCCCCACTGCAGTGGTTGTGAAGTGCAGATCCATGTCAGAGCGCCTGTGAGATCTCACCCCTCTGCTTTCTACAGTGATGCTCCCTGGAGAGCATTCTTGTCTGGTGGAACTTCCCTTTCCGTGGTGCTGTGCATCACACACAGTGTTGGTCCTTGAGAACTGCAAATTTTAGAGGAGAGCTCAGCTGTTTTTTCTACCATGCTGTATAGATACATATTTCTAATAAGATGATTTATAAGCAACATCTGTCAGAACTGAACTGATTCAGTGGCATCTGAGGGCTCCGACCAGATTCCGTGGAGGCTGTTGCTTCCAGGAAGAGAGGGCAGCAAGGATAGACAGATACCCCTTCTGCATAGAAATCCGTGGGGAAGGTCAGTAGCTTGGAGTGCTATCTTAAGGAAAGCTTAAGTCTTCAATCTTTTTGGTAAATAGATTTTGTTTGTGAGTGACACTTGTAGGTGGATGAAGTCTGGGAAATGGAGGTGACGATAGATGGAAGAGGTGGAGTGGTACAAATCATTTATCTTCATCTGCAACTCCCACAACCTGCACAAAGTAAAAATGAGCAGGTTTATTAATGTAAAGCAAGGCTACTGTGTGTCAGATCAGTGTGGATATACAACACTTTAAAAACAGGGCTCAAAGCTGCTGCTTTTCTCAACTGGTTTCTCTACATCTTAGTTCCTTTCATCTGCTGCAATTACACTAGCCATTGATTTCTCTCCACCCCGAAGGCCCCGATGCTGAAAAGTCGAACCAACATGCTTCCTTTAAATATGCCAGCGGTCTGTTAACTTCAGTGAGTCTATTCAGGTGTATGAAGTTAGGCATGTGCCTTCGTCTTTTCAGGATTGAGGCCAAAAATAGTTAGTTCCATTGATTCTGCAATTTTGCAAAAATTCTCCAATTTAGGGACACTCTCAGGTGGTTTAGGCCCAGTCTTTGCTTTTGCAGTTGTTTTCTTGAAACTAGATCTTACAAAACAATTGTTAAAATATACTGAAAATAGTTCCCTCCAGAGTGTTGGCAGTCTGAATGCTGCGGGATGGCCCTCCTTTGTGAGAGCCAGTGTGTGAAAGTAGCTCAAGGTATATATGAAAGAATCTTATCTCTTTCATTCTCCATGCTGAGTGAAATCAGAAAATCACAAACCTAGCTTCTCACTATGTAGCTTATTTTTTAAACTTGTTCTAATTATCTAAAGTGTCACTAAAAATTTATTTTTCATCTGACAGTGTCCCTTTATGCTCAAAAATACTTCAACTCTAAATGCTGCATGGTAGTATTAGTGTATCCTGCTACGGAAATCGAACTGCATATATGTAGGGATCTTTTTCTAAAGCCCTTTTCTCAATGCCATAAAGTAATGTATTTTGATGTACAGTAATATCTTTAATAAAGCAGATTATAGTAAACTCTTCATTAGCTTGGTGATCGCCGTTCCTGGGAAGTGTCAAGTGAGTTTGAACTAAAATGGGATGGTGTAAAAATATGGTTTGTCAGTTCATTTCAATGGCAGTGTTGGATTTTTTTTACTTTGCTAGATGCTGGACCCACTGGCATGTGAGGAAAGGTGGGAGAATGCAACTACAGCTGGAATATTACTTGACTCAGATTTTTTTATACTAGATCTGTGCTGAGCCTTTGGACCTGCACAGTTGTTTACGCTGGAAATAGTTTTCCAGCAGCTCATGTTGTTTCTCAACCTCTCCACGGCAGTCCCGACAGCTACATTAAACTCTGTATGCTTCCCTCACAAGGTAATTGTCTCTGCAGTTATGACAGCATGCAATAAATGTGACGCTCACTAGTGCTAGGGAATGTTGCAATGTCTATAGTTAGCAAGTTGCAAATTAAGCACAGAAAGTTACAATGACCTCTTGGGGTATAGCTACACTGCACACACCTTTCAGCAGCATTTGAGTACATAAACTATACACACCCCTAGCATGGGTACAAATAGAAGTGTAGACAGTGAGACATAAAGACAGGCCTGAACACTGTGGATGCGTACCCTACTCGACTCTCTGCTTGCCCCAGCAGTGCAGCCCCATCTACGCTGCTGTTTTTACCAGCATAGTGTCCCACTGCCTCTTAGCTGCTGGAGTCTTTGCCCATTGCAGGGAAAGGCTCTGGTAGCTGGAAAGACCTCTTGAGATCCCTAGAACTTTTGGCAGGACTAGATGTACTTTTTTGCAGCATAGGTGAGGAAGGTGGCTACTGTATGTGTGTTACACAGTAGTGAGGTGGACTGATGGCTCCATTCTTCCTAACTTTGGTAAACTAATCTCTTCTGAGACATTGAGTCCATGTATGCGGCCGCTGGGAGGTGTAATTCCTGACATGGGTGGGTATGCACTGAAAATAGCAGCGTGGCCATGAGTCTGTACCCAAGATCTCTGATGGGATTGTACTCTGGTGACTAGCCTGAGCTGCTGCCCCTGCCGATCAGAGCTAGAGTGGGTATGTCTGTCCGAGCTGGAAATTACACCTCTCCGCTGCAGTGTAGACCTGCCCTGTAAGTGACGGTTTCCACCACTGTAGTTCGAAACCCAAAATGCAAATTACAGCCTTTCCCTGTGGTACTGTTAAGTGTGTTGTGGTGTTTGGATGGCAACTGACAAAGCAAACACCGCTGGATGCTTTGTCTTTATTTATTTTAATAGGATTTGGAGGGCTGTTCCAGTTGCAGAATAATGGAACGGAGTGGAGCCTAGGAAGGCAACAGTGAAGAAAACTTCTTGGTTTTGTCAGTCAAATTAAATAATACAGTTAAATATTAAAACTTGTTGATTAATTCACCTACCCTGCTGTGTCTAGCTTGGGAAACCGCAAATCAGTTTCTCTTTTTGTGTGTGTGTATTTGGCAATCAGATTAAAGCTTTTTTTTCTTCTATCCTTAAGGTCTGATCTTTAAATCTGTCAGTACAGATCTAAATAGTCATACACGTAATGCACACAGCCTCTGTGCCAGTGGTGTGAGCTGGGCACAGGAGTAAACAGCCTTTTTTCCACAGGACACGGGCAACTTCTGTTATGATTTACTCCATGTTGCTTTGGAAAGCTGCAAAATTAGCATTCTAGCAGAGGCTAATCCATATATTTACTGGCAAGGAGAAGTGTTTTGTCTCTAGATAGTGCTCCTGTCAGATTCTTGCAGTGATGGAGGCACAGGCTTGGGACATCACCGACAAGTCTAGCAGGAGAATTAGATGTTTTATCTGACATGACAGATACGTTGGTGGCCCACAGATGGGCTGGGGGCGTTGCCCTCCTAAATGCCAGTATTGCTGTCATTCAATGAGTGCAAGCTGCAGCTATTGACAGAAAGATAGATAGTAATTGCACTGCTGAAAAGAGATTCAGCCAAGTCACAGTGCGACTGTTTGGGTCTGCCCAGCAACTGCCACCACTCCTTTGGAATGGTCAGTGCTTGTGCTGAGTAGAGCAAGAATTAAAAATACTCCTCCAGTCTCGGTTACTACAGAAATATCCCGGCTTACTAATGCAAGCCAGCTTTTCTTTTCAGACTTTAAAAAGTTTGTTTGTGGTAAAGAGATTTGTGTTTTGTTTTGTTTTTTTTAAAATATGCAGAGGCTTCTTAGAGTTAAGAGCCATTACCTTGGGCCAAGATTTGAAAAAATGGATGCCTATAATTAAGCTCCTCAATAAATGTCTGGATTTTCAAAAGAGTTGAGGACCCACCCATCCCACCCCCCCCCCCAAAAAAAAAGCAGCTCCCATGGGCTTCTGGAAAGCTTGGCTGTGAGATTTTTATTAAGAATATCAGTGTGGAAAGCTTCTCAACAGCAATGTGAAGCGCACGTTGCTGCTTGTTCATTAGTAGGATCTCTTAGCTTGTGCTGCAATTAATGTATTTAGCTGCTTTTGTGTAGGGCTTGCCTTGGTCTCATTTGTTTTCCATTCTAATGATCTGTGTAGAATTGGATGCTGGGCTTTGATATTTTTGTCCCCCTAAAAGAAGCCCCTCTGTGTGTACCTTCCTGTTCTAGCTATGATCTCTGTTGCTCATTAGAGCTTGGGGGTGTAATCAGTGCATGCAGCAGGCTGAAAAGAATAGGTAATATGGGATTAAAAACTCTCACATTAGAGAGAATATTTTATGCTCTAGCTGTTTTAGAAGTAGAGGGAAGTACCTTGCAAATAGCATGAGGTGTCTCCAAAAGACTCTTGAATCACAGTATCCATGAGCTAGGAATACCTTACCTATTTATGCTTGATTCAAAAACAAAATGACAAGGGGTTAAATAATAGTATCCCAGGGATCAGGAGGGGGGTTTTTTGTGCAGGAAAGATATACAAATTATATTTTCCTTAGAAGAACATGGGTTACATCTGAAGAAATACAGGTGATGGTGGTGGGAGCTGCAGATCGGAGGAAGGACAGCAGAAATCACCTTGCCAACTCGTAAAGCAAACTTTTGGGGCAAGGAGCTTTGCCTTTGTGTCTATAAAGAGCATACACGCCTGTATTTCTATAGAAAGGGGGCACGGAATGGCAGCGGTGACATGGGTGGGAGGTGAGTAGATGGTTACATACAGAAGCTAACAGTAGCACGGTCCTTGCATCCCTCTGTGCAAAGAGGTCAGACCTTCACGAATCATGCGATGAAATAGTCCTTGGACTGACTCCTGCTGCTGCAGCAGTTAAAGAAGGGAATAAACATGAAGTAATACAGCTTGCCCCAGGATTAAGAAAACTATACAGAACTCTTACACCTCTGCTAAGTGCTATGGAAACACTACCTGTCCCTCACCTCAGCCTGCTCCCAGAGGACAGCTGGCCATTTTCTTCACGTGCAGTTCTGTGTGAACTGTTGTACAAGCAAAGGAAACCAAGTTCCCACTGTTCAGGCCAGTGGAAGAATGCTCTTCCCAATGTGCATGAAAGCCAGCTGGCCAGTAGGGATTTTGGTTATCTGATGTCGAGACTCCAGCTGTTTGTATCCCGAATCAGTCACTGTGCTGATGAATCTGCCTTACAGTAGCTCATGTACACAAATCGTGTGGTGGTGGTGATGGCTTAGCATCTTACAAAATAGATAATCAAAAGCAATGCACAAATAAATTGCTGGATAGCTACATAAAGCTATTGCCAATTGTTTTTCTATACTGTGTTAGTAATATCCTAGATCACGGGTGTCAAACGTGCAGGCCCTGGGCTCGGTATGTGGCTTAATGTATCCGAGGCGCACACAACCTATTTAGACTAGAGAATCTGAACTTTTCTTTAAAACAAAGTCGGTTACTGGCTGTATAGATACAGCCTCTGTTACCAGCTGGCAGGTTAAGCAATACCGTCGTGTCTTCCTGAGTCTGCAATGACAGCCATCGTTATGGAGGCACGTCTGCTCTCTGAGTGCACAATCAGCCATTGACACATGCCCATAGCCAGCTAGGACTTATGCTGGGGTACTGTGCACCTCTGCCAGGGCATACCTAATGTTGAACACGTGTCTTTGAAGTGAGAGGGGAGGAGAGAAAAAGCTGCTTTGATTCAAGACAGTATTTCCCTGTTTAGCACAGGCTGAGGTATGCGACTCCGACCTGTCAGGGCCAGGGTGGAAATTTCGTTTCTGTGCTGTCCGGAAGGAGAAGGGAATGCATCTGGGTTCCCTCTCCCCATTGCTTAGTTTCCTTAGAGAAACATCAAACTTGGAGAGGCAGCTGGTTCTAGTTGATCCAGAAGCATCTTGAGTACACCTGGCTGGAGGATGGTAATTCATTTTTGTGGAAAAATTCAAAATGATTTTTGTTTGGCAGGTTTCGAAGAGAAACAAGTTTGTTAACTTGACAACAGTTGTAGACAGGGTTTTCTTCCTGTTTCTACTTTCTCCTCCCACTATTTTGTCACAGCAAAAAGGATACAAAAGAGGGGAGGAAAGGAAAAATAGAAAATATTTATTTACAGGTTTTAAGAAAGTAAAAAACCAAACAGAACAAACAAAATCCTGCCCAAAACCAAATTTTAGAAACATTTATTTATTTATTTATTTATGGGGTGGGGGGGGGGGTGGAGAGGTAAAAGGTTTTTTTTTGATGAAGGCCATTTTTCAAGAACAACAACAACAAAAAGTGATGTTTGACAGTTCTAGACCAACTCCTTGCTTTCGATGATCAAGGTTCTCTCTGAGCCTTCCCTGGCTTTGAATTTCTCCAAGCAAATGGGTGAGGATCTGGACAGGTGTCCGCTTCTGCCTTTCTGTGTGCTTCATCGAAGCGAAATAGCTAGACCTGAATCAAGGGCTAGGCATTCTGTACATCTGTGCTCCTTCTTTCTTGGCCAAATTCCGCTGTGCTAAATAAATAAAAGTTGTAAAAGGGGTCTTTTATTTCTTTAGATTCATATGTTGTTGTATAGGATTTTGATAAATAAAAATATGGATCAAAAAACTATCC